TTTCTCAGTAGACTTTGTATTATTATTTATAAAATATCTTACGAAATTTATCGGTTTTAGCTGTTCAAATAAAGGAGTTTTACAGTAAAATCCCATATCTGAACAATCAGATGTATGGAAGATATATGTTGTAGTCACCCGATCCTTGTAAGTATTCTGTTAATAATGAGTGAAAATGGTGCGAAATTTCATGTTCCTAGCTGCATAAATGGAGGAGATATGATAAAAGACCTCATATCTGAACAATCAGTTGTATGGGGGCTGCAGGTTATAGTGAACCGATCTTCGTTATTTTCACTGTAAGTCTTCTGCTGATAATGAGTGAAAACAGCGCGAAATTTCATGGTCCTAGCAGCATAAATGGATGAATTATAACGAAAAATCTCATATCTGAACCATCAGTTGTATGGGAGCTATAGGTTATAGTTATCCGATCTTTTTAATTTTCACTGTAAGTTTTCTGTTGATAATGGGTGCAAGTACTGCAAAATTTCATGTTCGTAGCTGCATAAATGGAGAAGTTATAACGAAAAATCTCATATCTGAACAATCAGTTGTATGGGAGCTATATGTTATAGTGGTCCGATTCTTCTGGTTCCGACAAATGATGAATACATTATAAAAATACACCCACCTACCAAATTTTATCCGGATATCTCGAAAACTGAGAGACTAGATTGCATACAAACAGACGGACAGACGGACAGACGGACATGGCTAAATCAACTCAGCTCGACGTTCTGATCATATAAGTATACATTTTCATGGGTCTATCTCTTTTTGTTCTGGTACTTACAAACATCGGACCAAAGTTATAATACCATTTCATGCTCATGAAAGGTATAAAAATCAACGGGAACCACAGTGTGAGCTATACTCAAGTATTATTTGCTTTAAAACTCGGTATCTTAAATTGTTCTAAAAATTCAGAGTAAAAAATTCGAAATTTGGGCGAAAATGTTTTGAATTTTTCTACNGAGCTGTATGAGCTTTACAACGATATAGACATAGTGCAGCGAATTAAAATTCAGCGGCTCCGCTGGCTTGGCCATGTCGTTCGGATGGACAGAAACGCTCCTGCTCTGAAAATATTCAACGCGGGCCGCGATGCTGATAACAGAGGAAGAGGAAGGCCTCCTCTGCGTTGGAAAGACCAGGTGGAGAAGGACTTGGCTTCACTTGGCATTTCCAATTGGCATCAGTTAGCACAGAAGAGAAATGACTGGCGTGCTGTTTTGGACTCGGCCAAATTCGCTTAGGCGGTTACAGCGCCAATAAAGAAGAAGAAGCATTTGTCTATAATAACTCGAGTTGAAGTTTTTCAAATTATGAAGTTTCGTTGTTGCCTTTAGTTTCATCACTTCCGCTTTGAAAGAAACTGCGAATATGCTAATAATATGATTCAAATGCCGTATAATTAGCTAAATAAAAATTTCCTTAAAAACAACTTTGAAATAACTAAAAAAATAACAACACTTTAGTTTTAATTGAAAAAAAGAAAGAAATAAAGCTATAGTTTTTATTAAAATAACTGTAAAAAAATTTATTGGTAGATATTTTTTAGATTTGGTAGATTTTTCTCAAGTGGATGGTAAATATTTTTTTTCGTCAGTGGCAACCCTGGCTGCGTGCTTGATGTTGCGTGGTCGTGCAGCCACATGTTGCTGTGTGATGTTTCGTTGTCATGGTCACAAAGGTGCTGTCGGGTGTTGCTACGAGTTGTGTTGCTATGAGTTGTGTTGCTTGACTGGCTGTTGTGCGGTTTCGTATTGCTTGTGTGGGCTAAATTTCTTGTTGAACATTTAGTCCTCACAATGTCGATATCAACTATATCTAAAATAATACATATTGTGACAATGTTTCTCAGCAATTTAAGTCCGGATGTTATAAAATGGCCTAATCAGCAGAAGAAACAAGAATCCAGTCAATATTTTGATAATAAGTGCATGTTCTCCAAAGCAATAGGTATGTATTAGCATAAATTATTGTATCTTATTTGTGTTAATTGTGAAAGCAATTATTTTTAAGGATGCATCGATTGAACCCACATAGAAATTGTCCTACCAAAAAGGGGAAAAGATGAGTACATTGACAGAAAAAGCATCGTATAGGTTGTTCTGCAAGGGATCTGTAATGAGCAAAAAAAGTTCATTAACATATTTTTTGGATACCCGGGTTCCAGCCACGATAGTTGGGGTTTTAAAAATTCTCCCATATATAATAAATTACCTTCGTATTGCGGAGGTAGCATTTTATTAAATTCATTGAATCCATGACAAATGTGATTTTTGTTTTATTTACAGATTACTACCTTTTAGGTGATTCGGCGTACCCTTGCAGCAAATATGTAATCACTCCATATAGAGATAACGGCCATTTGACTCGTGCTCAGAAAACATTCAATGTCAAGTTGAGTTCTGGTCGTGTTGCAATCGCACTCACGTTTGGGATTTTAAAAGAAAGATTCAGGCAGTTGTATTATTGCAAGTTGAGAGGCATGAAAAAACTCTGTCATTTTGTGCGTGCGTGTTGTGTTTTACATAACTTAGCAAATGAAGACGATTTAAATTTTAGCGAAAAGCCATTTGCCGAAGATTTATATGAAATTTCAAGTCGTGGCGAAACATCGAGAAGAAATTGCGACCGTGATCTAATTTGACAAAATATTCAAAATCGCTTAAATCAAAACATTTAATGAATAAACTGTTCTTTTATGCGTATAAAGAATTCACTTTTTTATTCATTGATACATATTTCCATTTCATTTCAATTTCAATCACAATACTTATGTATATTAACTTAAATAGTTTAATTAAAAAATTTATTATTATGGTTTCGACAATCTTTTTTTGTTTTTGTTTCATGTTCATTAATTTACTACACTAAAGCATTGTCACATTATGGAAAACTTTTAAGAAATAAATTTAAATTTTAGGCAAATAAAATTAAACTCTACAGTGGTACTAAACAGTGATTGAAAAACTTATATTTAGTGTATTTTCCAGTTTTTCAAACACTCTTTAGTACTACTGTAGAATTTAATTTTATTTGCTTAAAGATTAATTCTCTTTGCCCAAAGTTTAAATTTATTTTCCCAAAGTTTAAATATACTTGCTGGAAGTTTAAATCCCTTTGCCCAGAGTTTAATTTTATTTGCCAAAAGCGGGAAGCTTTGTGACAATGCTATATATAAATACTATTTTTTTAGAACATCCACAAGTGACTATAATATATCTAATTTTCTTTTTTCTGTTTCTAGCTTTTTTTCCTCCATTTCTCGCTTTCTTTTAATATTCTCTTCCAACAGATTTTTTATTTCTGCATCCCTCTTCCGTTGGTTTTCAGCATCCCTGTCAAGCTTCTCCCATATAAGGTCAAAATTACTTTTTCCCCTTCTTTGGGAGCAGGATGGCGTTACATCCGGGTTTTCTAAAATAAAATGACATATAAAATAGAATAAATAAATCGGAATCAATTGCAATTATGTTTTTTACCCGGGGTAGCTGGTGCCGACTGAGAACTTTCTTCCAGACTTCTGCAGCTGCTTTCACTGTCTATGAGGTATTCTGGGTTTATGGCGACTCTCTCCTGAAGTAGGTCATACAATTCACTGTTAAATAAATTACTTCATTCAATACAAAATACTTGCTATTTATCCAGTGTAAAAATAAAGAATTTCGTGATTTTAGAGACTGCTTCGGCACTTTCGGGACTAATTCAGAGTTAGTTTAGTTTAGCTACTTTGGAACCAACTAGTTTGGGACCAACTGGTAATTTAAAAACAACATACAGAAGTATTTAGGTATGCTGGTTTATTCCATTAAAATGTTAAATAATTTTAACTTACGCTTGGTAAGGGCAAAATTATCGATTTCGCCCCGTTTTGGAGTTATGTAGCTGAGCTTTTTTATATTGACGCTCCAAGCTGAAAAATTTAGTTTCCACTTGTGGCCAACTGAAAGTATAGCCCTTATCCCGCAGCTCGTTACTTATTTGCATCCACATTTGCCGCTTTTTCCTCAACTTTGCGCTTTTGCCAACTTTTGGCCGCAACTCCTTAACCCTGGATATTAAAAACTTCGTGGGAGCATCAAGCCAAGTCGTTTTTTGATCAGGCGTTTCTTTGCTACACCCGGGCTCAAAGCTGAGAGGCTCTTCTCCGCCTTTATCCGCATTATCTATTGCCTCACTGTCGGTAGCGAAGTCAGTCATGCACTCATCAGTACCGGCGCTAACTGGTCCCTTGTTGGTGCCCACAGGGGGGCATATAGGTATATAATCAGAATCGCCAATTACTCCTGGCGCAGTTGCAAGGGCACTATATTGCGAAATTTCAATTTCTTCGTAAAAGTCGTCACCAGCAGCATCTTGTACCACTTTATTTCTATCCGTATCTACAATTAACAAAATTTATATGTACATATATGTGTATATATATATGATGTATGCATGTACACATGAACATGTACATAGAAATGTTTATTAGTTGTTTTTATTACTTTATTTGTTGGACTCTAGTATCATTGCTTACCATTTTGCACTTTTTGGAACGTGCCTGGAGAACACTGCAAAGTCAATTTTCCTTTGTTTTCCATTGCTCCGACTTGTTAAATTACAATATATCTAATAAATTAAAATATAAACAAGCCGTAAAATTAGTAATTTTTTTATAATAGTTACTTACCAAATTACTTCTAAGCAGAAAACAAAAAACCAACTGTGTAGATGAACGGATTCAAAAGCAACTGTGAACGCGTGCACATTCAAATGCAATTTTGAAAGCAAACAGCTGTTTTTGTAACTTGCTTGCAAATGTTTGCTAATTCCTGTTCGCGCAACGCAAACGTCAAGCTGTGAAGCTGTGTTTTTCTGTGATCTGTTTAAATTTTGTCTTTTATAAAGCTGTTTACGCTTATTAAAGTAAAAAATTTAAAAAAGTGTTAATAAACTTCTGGTGCACAATTTAAAGATAAGTAAAACATCAAAATTTCCCGTAAATTTGATTAATTTAACTTGATATTCTTAATTGCATGTGCCTAGTATTTTGTTTCATATAATATATTGTTGTTGTACAATTGTTTTTGTTTGTGCACATTGATTTTGCTCTTTTTGTTTTTTGTCATTTCTGCTGTTTCATCTTTATCACAGCTGTTTGCGTTGTGTTTATTAGGTGTCAAATGTACAGTGCATTTAAAACTGTTCGCTACATAGCTTTCCAACTGATATTTACCAGCTGATTGGTTCACTGATTAATACATCGTTTTCAAAACCGTTTTTGGTTTTTTGCTTCTAAACCCTAAAAATAAATATAATTTTAAACATGTCGTGTATTTACACCAATTGCCACGTTAAAAGCGACTCCTATGTGTCATGCTGGCTCTGCGATGGGATTGCCCATATAAAATGTGCTGGTTTGAGCGGTAGAGTTTTAGACGCTATTAACGAGGGTAAGGGTCTTCGTTGGTCTTGTCAAAAATGTAGATCAACCGAAGTTGATTTATTTAAATTCTTCAGGCAGTCCAGAAATGGTTTTTCTGAGATCGGGAAGGATCAGTCGGCGCTTGTTGAGAAATTTAAGCATTACGAAAAAATGTTTAGGTCTTTCACTTGTCTCGACAACCCTCCACATTCTGAGGATAGCCGAGAAAATAAAGGTGGGCATATTATTAGTCCACCTAAAAAGACAGCCACGGATTCTAGTAAAAAAAATCCTCCATCCCAGTCCTTAGAACTTATTAATTTATCTTCTCCATGCCCTCAGGCATTGGAGCCTCCGATTTCTAAAGCCATATCCACTAGGTCTACTTCTAAAAATAGTCAAACCGTTGATTTAACAGTGTTGCCATCAACATCTCAAGCTCCACTGTCTAACTTAGTTCCTCCGAATAATTCGGAGCCCCGCACATCAGACATCATTACCAAAAAGTTGGTTGTAATTCCTCCGAGAAGATCAATCTTTGTCTCTAGATTTGCTAAAGATACTTCTTCGGATGATATAAAGTCATACATATCGACTAAAATTAGAACTAAAGATGTATTTATTCGTAAATTTAATTTTAAATACGATCGCGATATTTCATCTTTTAAAATTGATGTAGCTTCCGAAGATTTTGATTCACTACTAAATAGTTCATTTTGGCCGACCGGGGCGTTTGTTCGCGAGTTTGAGTATAAACCTAATAAAAGTAATAATAACGTAGCTAAAATTTCTAATCTTAATTCGGATTCAAAAAACTAACTCGCAAGTCTAATTTAAGTATTTACTATCAAAACGTTAGAGGTTTGAATACCAAATTAACTGACTTATATTTAAAAGGTTTTGACTGCAATTATAATATTATTTCCTTGACCGAAACATGGCTCAAACCTCATATTTTTAATTCCGAAATTCTTCCAAATGAATATCAAATATACAGGAGTGACCGCGTGGGCAGAATCGGCGGTGGTGTTCTTTTTGCGGTGCATTCATCGATACCATCCGAGGAAGTTAGTCTTCCTGTCATTGAATATACCGAATTTAAATGTATACGTGTACAGGCTGGAAAGACTTATATTTATTTAGCTCTTTGCTACATCCCTCCTAATTCTGCCGTATCGGTATATATGCAGCTAGTTTCTTTACTTGAGACCGTAAATGCAATGCTTACGGCATCCGATTCTATGATTGTTTTGGGCGATTTAAATCTGCCACATATTTCATGGAACATCATTGACACCGATGTTGTACCAGTTTCATCTAGAGATAGTTACAATGTATTTCTGGAGGAAATGGCTGAACTTTGCCTCAAACAAATAAATATATGTCCAAATAAGTTTGGAAAGGTCTTGGATCTCGTTTACGTTGATGATGTTCCGAAGGCCTCTATTAATCGGTGTGATCCCCTAGTTTTGCCGGAAGATGCATACCATCCTGCTCTTGAGTTAAGCTACGAAATCATAAATGAAATACATAATAATAAGTCAAGTTCAAGTACTAGATATGTTTTTGCGAAAGCAAATTTCAGGAAAATTAACAAAGAACTTTCAAAGTTATCTTGGCCAATATATAGAGATGACGTGGAGCGTAGCGTTGAGCACTTTAATGATACTGTTTTCAATTTGTTTCGAAAGTATGTGCCAATACGTAATATTGTTCATGAAGAACCAATACAATTATGGTTCACTAAAGAGCTTAAAAAATTGAAAAATAAAAAGTCGCACTCTTTTAAACTGTATAAAAGAACGGGCTTACACAGTGATTACCTAAGGTACTCAGTTTTGCGGCATAGCTACTTTGCATTAAATAAGAAATGTTATAATTCATATTTATGTAAAATTAAGAAGAATTTAATTAACAATCCTAAATCATTTTATGGTTTCGTAAATTCAAAGCGTAAGGCACATGGTTTTCCGTCCGCTATGCATTATCGCAACACTGTATCTAGCGACAGCCAACTCATTGCCAACATGTTTGCTCGGTTCTTTAGGTCCAATTATTCTGTAGACTTCCCTATAAGTGGAGACTATCCGTACGAGCTTTGTCCAATCAACTCTGCTTATATTCCAGTAATATCTTCCGATGAAGTTTTACACTCTTTAAAAACCTTAAAAGCGTCATTTAGGCCTGGACCTGATCATATTCCGACCTGTTTTCTTAAAAACTGCGCTGAGAACATCTGCGAGCCTTTAACAACTCTATTCAATTTGTCACTTAAACATGGCGTTTTTCCGTCAGCCTGGAAGGAGTCTTTCATAATACCACTTCACAAAAACGGCAGCAGGTCCTCTATAGAAAACTATCGAGGCATAGCGAAACTCTCCGCTATCCCCAAATTATTCGAAGCAATTATTGTTAACCAGCTGACATATTCTATATCTTCTTCAATTACACAATCTCAACACGGGTTTTCTAAAGGAAAATCTACTATGACTAATTTATTGGAGTTTACAACTCATGTCTCAAACGGTTTTAGAGAAAATGCTCATACCGACGTAATATACACCGATTTCAGTAAAGCTTTTGACAAAGTATGTCACTCGTTACTCATCCGTAAACTCGACCTAATCGGCTTTCAGCCCAGTCTTCTTCAATGGATCTCATCTTACCTCTCTGATAGAACACAAAGAGTTATTGTTAATAATTGCTCTTCCAACATCATTAAAGTTTCTTCAGGAGTTCCTCAGGGAAGCCACCTTGGTCCGATTCTGTTCCTGATATTCATTAATGATATTTCTTCTATAATAAAACATTCAAACATTTTAATGTATGCCGATGATGTGAAACTTTTTAAAACATTGTCCTCTATCGAAGAAAGGTCTTTGTTACAAGCGGATCTGAACAACGTGGTTAGTTGGTGTAATACAAACTATATGCCACTAAACCTTCAAAAATGTAAAGTTATGTGTTTCTCTCGGAGGGCTGTTCAACCAGCTGTTTATTCAATATCAAATTATAATCTGGAGCAGGTATCCAATTTTGTCGATCTTGGTATCACAATGGATTCCAAACTCAATTTCAACCATCATATTAATGTTACAGTCAATAAAGCCAAAGGCGTTTTTGCATTTGTAAGGCGATGGTCAAAAGAGTTCAAAGATCCTTATGTTACAAAAGCTCTTTTTACCAGTTTAGTTAGACCTATACTAGAATACGGATCTATTGTTTGGAATCCCCGCTACCAAGTTCATTCAGAAAGGATTGAATCAATTCAAAAACAATTCTTGCTTTTTGCATTGCGTAATTTTAACTGGGATTCAGATTACAATCTCCCCCCTTACACAAGTCGTCTAAAGCTCATAAATTTGCCTACACTCGCAAGTCGTAGAGAAATGCTGGGTATAATATTTATCGTAAAATTAATGACAGGCTTGATTAATAGCCCGGCCCTCCTGGCTGAGGTAAATTTTAATGTTCCTTCTCGAGTGTCAAGACACTTTCGACCTCTATTTTTAAAGCCATGCAAAACTAATTTTGAACTAAACGAATCATTCCGTGGTTTATGTCAAGATTTTAACTGTCATTCCAGCACGTTTGACGTATCGGACTCGATTTTTACTATAAAGAAAACTATTATTTCCACTCTCAATAATTGAAATACTATCTTTAGCATATCCAATCAGCTGATGAATTTGATTCTGTAGCTGAATAGTTTTAGATCTCGACACTTAACAAACTCCTGTTTCCACTACTCGGCACCAAAAAACTAAAAAAAAAAAAAAGGGTTCCGTACGTCATGCGGACTGCGCCCCTCGTGTCGGTTGGGCGGGAATGGAGGTTAAAAAGCCGTTGGGATTAATTAATTAATTAATTAAAAAAACTCAGTAAGTTTCTCTCTTTGGGAGAGTAAGATACCTTATTCTCTGAATTTTGTTACTGGCTAATTCTTACTGGCAGTTGCATAGCGAACACTCCAAATGTTCAATATTAATGTCAAAACCCAAATCTAATCCAGAACGGTGACAAAGGTAGTTTCATGAGAACAATATAGCTGTGATAATCTAATAGATATGATGATATATATAGATAACTTTTCAATAATTAACCAACTGAACTTAGATGATATGATAGCATACATAAACTCATGTTTGCTAAATTGTATACAACACTTAACGTGTGTGAAACAAAT